CATTGAATGTGTAGATTGCTCTAGGTAGCATAGACATTTACACAGTATTTATTCTTCCAATCCAAGAGCATGGAACGTTTTTCCATTTCTTTGTGTCTTCTTCAATTTCTTTCATGAGTATTCTTGACACTCTGTTCTTAAGTCCAGTACTTTTTTTTAATGGTCATTTAAATTCTCTATCAGGTATATTATCTCCATTTTTGCTTAGTATGCTTGCTGTGTTTTTGTTTTTGTTTTTTTTGTTTTTTTTTTTTTGTCCTTTCATTTGGGACATATTCCTGTCTCCTCATTTTATCTAACTTTGTGTCTGTTTCTATGTGTTAGGAAAGTCTGCTACATTTCCTGGTCTTGAAAGCCGTGACCATATGAAGAAGAGGTCCTATAATGCCCTGCAGTGCAATGTCACCTCTTCACCAGAACCTGGTGTTTCAGGTATGTCTCCTATGTGGGTTGCATGTACCCCACTATAGTGGCTGAGCTGCTTTTGCCTTTAGTCCAGTCATCTGCACTGACTTGCTGCTTGTTGTGGGTATGGTTTGGTCCTGTTTTGTTAGTGGACCAGGCTGGGGTCACCTAGGTGTTGAGTTGAATAGACTAGGTGTTTGCCAGAGATGCAGTATCATGGAACTGTAGGGCATTTTCCCTGTGCTGTCCCCTGAGAAGGTTTTGTTGTTGGGCAGGTCCTGCCATCAGACCAGATGTCTGCCCCAGTCCACTGCTGAATCTCCAGTAGGACTGGCATCTGTGGTTATATTTTACTCTCCTTGGGAGGGGGAGAGGGGTCACTTTGGTGCTAGTCCCTGTCTGGGCTGCTTACATATTTCCATACTTGTGGCACTACTTTGAATGGCCTCTAGCCAAAGGTATATTGAAGGGGTCAAGTTTGCAGGAGAATGTGAGGATAGGGTGTGGTGATCGAGGTCTGTTGTGAGAGGTGAACTGGTGCTGCTTTAGAAAACTGGGGTGGGGTGGGTTGGGGTGAGGCTTGTTTGCAGGAAAGTGTGAGGGCAGTGTCCTTTGCCAGCCGGATAGATGAAATGAAGCCCCATGAATCTCCCAGGGCCTGTTTGCTGTGCTAAGGCTGGGGACTTGTGTCCTCTTGCTCTCCTGGCTCTCCAAGAGTAGAGCCTACTGATTTTTACATTTCCAGGTGTGAAATCCCACTGATTGTGAGAATTCACAAAATTATGCCCCTCTGGTCTTAATGTGGTCCCTGTGCCTGGGGTGCTTGGTATGGGGTCTATCTTTCCCCTCTTTTTGCACCCATGGTCTCCCTCCCTCTGGTAGACCATCCCAGTGGTCCATTTAGCTCCAGACCATGTCTTTGCCCTTCCTACTATTTACTGTTTCTCTACATTTTTAGCTGTGGAAGGTCTGTTCTGCCAGTCTTTGGGTTATTTTCTGGGTTATTTATACTATGTGGGTGTTACCTAGTTGTATCCATGGGATGAGGTGAGCTTAGAGTCCTCCTACTCTTCTGTTTTTCCCCATAAGTACAGGGATGCATTCTGTGGGTCCTTTTTTATAAGGGTGTGAATTCCATTCATCAGATCTCTGCCCTTATGACCTAATGGCCTCCCAAAGGCCCTACCTCAAATCCTATTACATTGGGGATTAGATTTCAGCACATGAATTTTGGAGGAACACAGACATTCAGTCTATCGCAATTATAAATTAGTTTTAAATTTATATGAAGACTTTTGGCCAATTTTTACTTGTTCATGCATTAGAAACTTCCTAATGATAGCAATCATAGTACAATAGGTAGTACAGTTATGTTGTATAGTTGTTGCTGTGTATGGAATTAGTAATATATTTCAAAATATGGATGTATTACTGAATTATAAATATGCATCTTCATTTTTATGTATAGATCAAAAGAGCATTACAGGAACCACACTTAAAAATGGAACAGTTACTTCAAAATGAACTTGAAAATGCATTAAAAGTAGAGGCAGGTGGCGAATGGGCAAAATGGGTGAAGGAGGATGGGAAATGCAGGCTTCTAGTTATGGAATGAATAAGTCATGGGAATAAAAGGCACATCATAGGGAATATAGTCAATAACATTGTCATAATGTATGGTGACAGATGGTAGCTACGCATGTGGTGAGCCTAGCATGACGTGTGGAAATGTTGAATCTGTTGCACCTGAACCTAATGTAACATTGTATGTCTACTATACGCAAATAAAAATCATTAAAATATATTTTCTATGATATACTTAATTGCCAGAAACAGATATTGTATAATCTGTCACTTCTGTGATGTTTCCAATATATTCTTATTCCTTTTACCAGTGCTATTAAGTGGATTGACCACTCTATACAGAGTATCATTTCTCACCTTTCTCAGTGTTTGAATTAATTGAACTTCAGGGATAGCTTATATTACATTTCCAATTTAAAATAAATATGTTGATCTAACCTAACTTCTTTCTATTTCATTAGTTTAACAATACCAAATAACACATTGTTTTCTTAGTTTTTTTGAGTAATTTGTAGAAATGTAGTTATTATTGGGTCTTCTAAGTGTTTTAGAGTAAGTTATGAAGCATACTTTCAATACAAAATGTGAGTATATGAAGAAATTTTTTATTTAAATTGAAAATATTTGTATTTAAGTATCAGTGAAGATTTAGTCAATAAACCTTCAGGTAGCTCCAAAGCTAATGTTTAATAAGCAGGACTCTTAAATCTACCAATGCTATAAATCTTCTTGGTTAGCTTAGAAAGCATAGAATGTGTTTCCTTTCACTTGTTCACCAGTAGTGGATTAGAAAACCTAGCTGTGCAAATCACTGCTAGTTCTGTCATTAAGACATCAGAAATATCACTTTATCTCCATTTGCCTAAGTGAGAGGACATTAACCATATCTTCTAAGCTCCATTAATAGCACAGAAATATGTACCATTGTACTTTAGGGGAAAAATCCATTTGATATACATTTTGTAACTATCTTTCAGCAGGGAAGAAAAAGAACCAGAACTCTATGCAATCTTACCACTTTTAAAAAGTTTCTAAATTCCAGGGTGCCTGGGTGGCTCAGTCGGTTGAGCATCTGCCTTCAGCTCAGGTCATGATCGCAGGGTCCTAGGATTGAGCCCCAATTGGGCTCCCTGCTCTGCGGGGGCCTGCTGCTCCCTCTCCCTGTGCTCCTCCCCCTGCTTGTGCTCTCTTTCTCTGTCAAATAAATAAAATCTTTAAAAAAATATATTTTTTTTAATTCTAAATTCCATCTATAGAGAAGTAAGCAAACACATAGGGATTTATATCTAGATGTACTGTCCAAGCATCACTAGTCTATCACATATGCAGGATCTCATAAAATGGGTTTTGCTAGAATAAGTGTATGTATGTTACATGTTTTTACAAAGTTGAGTGTGATTGATTTTATAATTTTTATAAAAAGGCTATGCATACTGGAATTCAAAATTGTTCAAATAAGATTATGAATTTTGTAAATTTTTGTCAAATAGTGGAGTTTTGGGCAACTCCATTTACCCCTGAAGGCCACTAAAAGTTTACTTTTACTAAAGCTATAAATAATAGATTTTACTATTAATGCAGAAACAGATTGAGATTAAAGCCCAATTATTTTCAGGGATACCGTCCACTTGGTGACTAGCAATGATTAAAAAAAAAAAATCTACCAAACTATTTCATCTTGAGGGTTCTCTACCACGTTTCTACACATGCATCCGGGTGTGTGTGCGTGCTTGTAAACATGCATACCTATACCTATATTCAAAACTACGCAGTGCATAAATGTAAAGGAATAAAACAAATGTATGTATGTATCTTAAATTTTTATGGAGGTTAGTTGACCTACAATGTTAGTTTCAGGTGCACAGCATAGTGATTCTATAATTCTGGGCATTATGCGATGTTCACCGTAAGTATTAACATCTGCCACCATATATTACAATATTATTGACTATATTCCCTATGTTGTACTTTTTATCTTCATGGCTTGTTTTATAACTGGAAATTTGTACCTCTTAATCCCCTTCATATATTTTGCCCATTCCGCAACCCTCTCTTTTCTGGAAACTACCAGTTTGATCCATTTATGAGTAAAATCATACAGTATTTGTCCTTGACCTGTTTCACTTAGCGTAATATTCTCTAGATCCATCCAAGTTGTCACATATGGCAAGATTGCATTCTTTTTTATGGCTCAGTAATATTCCATTATATATGTATATCACATCTTTATTCATTCCTCTGTTGATGGGATGCTTAGGTTGCCTCCATATTTTGGCTGTTGTGAATAATGCTGCAGTGAACACAGGGGTGCATTATCTTCTTGAATTAGCGTGTTTTTTTGGGTAAATAACCATCTGTGGAATAACGGAATTGTATTTCTCTTTTTAATTTTGAGGAACCACCGTACTGTTTTCATAGTACTTACACCAATTCCCATTTTCACCAACAGTTGCATGATGGTTCCCTTTTCTCCACATCCTTGTCAACTCTTGGTATTTCTTATCTTTTTGATACTAGCCATTCTAACAAATGTGATATCCTTGTGGTTTTCATTTGGGTTTCCCTCGTGAGTGATGTTGAGCATCTTTCATGTGTCTTTGGCCATCGGTATGTTTTCCTTAGAAAAACATTTATTTTTGGTCTTTTGCACATTTTAATTTTTTTATTTGTGTGTATCTGTGTTCAGGTGTAGGAGTTCTTTATATTTGGGACTTTAACACCTTATCAGATCTATCATTTACAAGTATCTCTTCCCATTCAGGAGGTTGCCTTTTCATTTTGTTGGTTTCCTTAGTTGTGCAAAAGCTTTTTAATTTGGAGAAGTCCCAATAGCTAATTTTTGCTTTTGTTTTCCTTGCCCAAAGAGCTAGATCCATAAATATGTCGCTACGGGTGATGTCCAAGAGATTACTGCCTAGGTTTTCTTTTAGGAGTTTTATGGTTTCAGGTCTCACATTTAGGTCTCTGATCTATTTTGAGTTATTGTTGTGTATGGTGTGAGAAGGTGGTCCATGTCCTTCCTTTGCATGTAGCTGTGAAGTTTTCCTAGCCCCATTTTTGAAGAGACGGTCTTTGCCCCATCATATATTCCTGTTTACTTTGTCATGGATTAATTGACTAAGTATAGGTTTATTTCTATTCTGATCTGTTGATCTGTTGGGTCTGTTTTTGTGCCAGTACAATACTGTCTTGATTGCTATAGTTTTTCAGTATATCCTGAAATCTGGGATTATGATACCTCCAGCTTTGTTCTTAAGATTACTTTGGCTACTCAGGGCCTTTTGTGGTTCCATACAGATCTTAGGATTATTTTGGTTCTGTGAAAATACAATTGGTATTTTGATTAGAAATGCCTTAAACCTGTAGATCGCTTTGGGTAGTATGGACATCTTAATAATTTTCCAGTCAATGAGCACAAATAATATTT